CTATCTATCTATCTATCTATCTATCTATCTATCTATCAAATTTGTATGCTGCCCATCTCCCTCAGAGGATGACTCTTTTTTTTAATGCTCCATGTTCCCACTGTCCTTGCAGCTTTAGATTTTCTTTTCCTGAATGGCAACATCAGCAACTAGATATCCTGAAGGCTTTAATTTAGCCTTCATAACATTAAAACACCACCAAAAGATCCTCAGCTCTTTCTCAGTAGTATGTTGAGTGCCATCCAACCCGAGGGACCATCATTTGGCACTTTATCATTGATCACTTTATATTGTCTATCCATGTGGTTTTCTTGGTAAAATACAGGAGTTGTTTACCATTGTCTTCTCCCATGCAATATATAATTATGCCTTTGTTGTCACTAAAGTGATCATCTACCTCCAGCATCTTCCTATATTGCTACTACCCAGTATAGGTGTCAGCTTGTTTTAATTGGGCAGCTAGGTTGACCTTCATCCCTTGGGTGACCCTGCTTGGAATATATACTCTTGGCATATACTCCTGGTCTTCTTTGTTCATCCCTCCCAGGAACATCCCACCACCACCTCCACCACCACAATGACACAGCATAAGAGGACTTGAGGGGAACTAACATTTATAGCAGGAGTAAAAGAATAAATTATAAGTAATTAAATAGCTAATCCTTCTCACATCTAAGTGATTTAGTTTGATTGTGTTTGAATGTTAGTCCATTCAGTATGTAACAGTCTTGGTAAGAAATAGATATAAGTCTGATGTATTTCTTTAATCATTTTATATTTCTTTTCAAAAATTGTTCACAATTTTTTATACTTTATTCATTTTACTTCAGAATTAATGTTGCCACAAAAGATTATACAACGAGCATGGAAGAATTTCTTAACAGAGAACCTGAGCCTGTTGCTCCACAATTGCCTTATACTGTAAGTTTTTATTTCAGTATATATATTATCATACTTTGGGGTTTTTTTTAGTTTTCTTTTTCTTTACAGCACTGCCACATCAGTCTGTGTTGTTTTGAGGCACAATAAACTGCTAGCGTATTAATTGCTTGAATTCAACCCAGTCTGCATCCATCTTCTTTTCCTTTACTGGATCAGATTTATCCTATGAAAAACTTGTACCAGGCCTGTGCTTTTCAAGTAGTTATGTATAAACCCTGTCAGTAAATAAGATAAACTGGAGCTCAAATTCTGTGGGGAGGTTTCAACAAACAATTGAACAAACTGAGGGGTAGTTTCAAAGAAATAAGAAGTTTTGGTGTGAGGGAATCTGCAGCTCTTTGCCGTCAGGAAGAGAAAAAAAACGGGACACAACTCCCTGACTGGTTCATACGTAGCACTAAGCCATTATGTGGTTTGTTTGGTTTTCATTTAATATTGTAGTTCATTCAACAAACTACAGGTCAACAAATCATAGGTTAGTGTTGTATAAATCCTGCCATTGGATCTGTTTCAATCCTATTCAAAGAGACTTGGGCCTGCATGTAAATAATTTATAAAATTTCCATAGCCTTAGGTAGCAGATGATTTCACTTAAGCAGAAGAGGAACCTGCAGAAGGTTTTTGTATTAGTATAAGCAATATAATCACTGTTGAGGCTATCACTGTTAGTGCTTTAAGTATTAGAAGTGATTAGGATGGGATTTTATATATATGCATGGGTATTCTACTTGTCCCATAGGTACCGTTCTTTGGACAGACATTGACAAGTAGTAGGCTCCTTGCCTTTGAATATTCCACTTTTACTACATAAATAGTTCCACTGAACTTTGGAAATAACTAAGATCTATTTCATGGAATTCATATTAGCCATTTTGAGGCCCTCAGGGTAGAAAGGTGGAATAGATAAAATAAATACATAAAGTATAGTTTCCTGCCATGTCTTATAATAATTTCTAGGTCAGGAATTAGTTGGTTACTTCTAAAGGCTGATTCTTTGATCCAAAATCATATTGCCGTAAATCTCTGTACATTTCCTTACCTGGTCTTTTTTCTCACCATGAGAACTCTGCTTAGTTCCCTTTCTTTTTGCAGATCTATACTAGCTGAATGAGCCACACTAATAGATATGAGCAATAATGCAAAACAGGAGGAATATTCATTTATTGCATAGCTGTAAAAAGTTATGGCTTAGTCTGATTGAATCTTGGACACAAGTATTTCTTTTAAACCAGAAGGCTATAAAAATAATACATGTAATTAAAATGCATATTTATATGTGTGTGTGTGTGTGTGTATGTATATATATATAATTAAAAAATCTTGGATTACAACGAAGTAATAATTCCAGTGCATAATATCATTGCTATTGCAAGCTAATCTCAGCTGGAAATAGACTATTACTACTAATCACTAGGAGGCAATGGAAACAGGTGCTTTCTCAGCATGGTGTGTACAGTATATTCATTTTCTTATTGCAAGCAATTCCTACCAGAGAGAACTCAGTCTCTTTGCTCCCATCTAATGGTTGTCCTGATTTTTGCGTACAGATCAGAAGCCATACTACTAGCCAGATGACTACCTACTGGCATTGTGTTGACTAAAATGACCTCTTTCCAGATTTTCAGTAAGAAGTATTCAAGTCCCACTTCCAACTTCCATTCATTCCATCAGTAGATTTCCTCACTGGCTACCACTAAAACTAAATTATTTCTCATTCAATTTTGTGATCTTTTCTTACTTTTTTTTTCAACAGATGAACAGTGAACAGAAACAAATAAGAGTAAGTGAAGCATTTAAGGATTTTTAAAAGACCAGTCGTATGATTCTAACATGTTGCCTAAACTTTATAAGATTTACAAGATATGGAAATGCGGCCGATATTCATAGTACTTGTTGGTCCTTATCTGTAGAACTAACATATAAATAATAAAGATGCTCTATATTTTTATTAATGTAACTAAGTTGATAGCTATTAATGTATCCTAGCCTAGCACATTATTTTGGTAGCCTAATCATAAAGATTTTGATTAAAATATGGGTAACATGAATTTCTGATTTTTTAAAATAGTATTCATTTATTTTTGAGGTTTACATGTTACATTAATTAAGAATTAATTAAGAATTCTGATTAAACTGTGTAAGAGCTTCTAAAAGATGTTTATTTATACAACTAATAGAAAAGTAGCATTTGTCAGTCCTTTTTCATATATATTGCTTTCTTTGTGTTAGATTATGCTTGCAGTGTATACAGACCAAAAATACTGAACATCAGTCAGCAAGCAACGCTATACATATTCTGTTTGGCATGGGATGACAACAATAAGTTCATTCCTGGGAGGCTGGGCAGGGAAAGCTACTGTTTTACCCAGGCCATCTTTTTTAGGGCTGTAACTTTTGATCTCATTGATCTCAACTTTGAAAACTTTGCCTTAAAATTGAAAGAATTGTAATTAGGCTGTTTCAGCAATAGGCCACAAAGGAGACAAAGCCAATATCATACAACAGCTACCAAGACATCCTCATGCTGCAGAGTGTGGGACATGAGGATAAGCTTTCAAAGTAATATTAGAATTTATATTTTTAAATCACAAACAATAAAAATAATTTGTTTTACTTAATTACATAATCACGTTGTCATTTCAGAACAATTATCTCTTTATGAAGAAATGTGTTGAAAGTAATCCAGTGGTACCTATTCAGCAGGAGTGGTTAGTCTCCATGCTCACATTGGTACCTCAAGCTCTCATGGAAGGCAAGAATAGAGAGAAACTGGTCGAAGAGCTCTTAAGTGAGGTAACAAATGATTATGAAATGAGTATGAAGAGATACATGGGTAAGTTCCACTAACAGTATTATGTTACAATAATACTCTTTCTCTCTTACATTTTTCTATATTTTTTTTGTACATCATAAACCACATAATTCAGCTTTGTACTTCTGGATTAGGTAGCAAAAACTATATTGATATCTGATTCTATCAGAGATATTTTCTTTGTCAATTTTTCTCAAAGCATGCTAATATGTTACTTGCCTATATATTAACAATAGTTAGCATTTATATATAGCACTATGCATATATCATCTTAGTTATTCATCAATCTTGTCAGAAAGATAAACATATTGTAGGCTGGGGTTTAAGGCCTGAATGAGGCTTTTTTTCAGTTGTTTTCTATGACTGCTGTTTGATGGTAGAATCTTGGCTTGATCCAGGACTGAATTTAGTATTTGATATCCCTAAAGCATACTGTTAGCCTCTATGTTCTTGACTTACATGTTTTTAAAAACAAAATCAAGATTAATCATTTTGTTGGACATAAAGCTTTTTTTAAAAATGATTTTTATAACAGTAACATACTAATATAGAATGCATAGGCTGTTTCTCAAAATACCAGAGATATCTCTGTAATGCTTTGAATAGTCCTTGAAGTTAAATATAATTTTTAAAATTACTTTTAAATAGTATTTCCTAATACATAACACATTTCCAATATATCACAGTGCGAAGTGTTCTTGTCAAGCCTGAAGTAAAATTGCTTGAATATGAGAAAGAAGGACCTTTGCCAGTTGAACCTGTGTGAGTAAATTATATTAATAAAATCATACACTAGAGGCTTTGCTGAAGTAAAGAAGTGGAATCTTAAAACCAGACTGTTAGAGATTTTAAGGCTGAAAAATATTTCCCTGTTGTCTGTTAATCAAAGTTATATTGTTCTTTTTTTTAACATGTATTTAATATACTCATTTGGTTTATTTTGCAGAGGATTAGACTTTTCTAGGCCATGGCATAAAAGTTTTATACAAGCAAGAAAACAGATTCTTGAAAATTTACATATTCTCCATCCAACTTTAAGAATTTTACTCGAAATCGGTTACAAAACATTTTCCAAGTTACTTATAGTAGACATATCTGGTTTCAGGTAACATTTATAATTCTTGAATTAATTTTCTAAACATAGAATATATGTATAATTCTAATTAGGTACACTGCATTATTAAATTGTCATTTATATTACTTTGTGTAAAAATGTATCACTAATTGCACAGTTTTTAAAATTCTTATTGAATACTTTTAGACTCATTGAATTCTAACAAAGAGTGAATATGCTCAGTAGGCACTGAATGTGACTGATTATTAGTAGAAAATATAAAAAGCTGAGAAGTGGAACTGGAATAACATAACCATGGTTCCCTGGAATTCTGACATTCTACATCATAATAGTTTATTGCAGGCTTTACTTGTTTTATGTGAGTTTTAAATTTGGAACAAAAGTGCATATGTAGAACTCCTGAGCCTACTTTCTTTCTTTTAAATAAGATAAGGGCTCTGGTTTTTTATAACTATTAAAATGTACATTGCCTTTGTATTTGTTGTCCATATTTTTTCTTTTGGTTTTGCTTGACATAGTTTCATTTCTTAAATTCTTTTTAATACAGGTCAAAAGGCCCACTAGACTGTGAATCCCTTCAAAATGATGTGTCTATAAATTGCTTAAAAACAGAAGAAAAGATACTAAACACGTGGTACCCAAGGGTTATCAATCTGTTTACCAGAAAAGAAGCACTGGACGGTGTGAAAGCTGATCAAGTTGATTCTTTCTATAACTGTGTGGCTACTCTTATGTCTAATCAGGTCTCTTTTTCATGTCATATTTTTGCCCCTTCTAGAATGTTGAGTATGAATTCTTGCTTTCTATCACTTCAGGAAAAGAATAATTCAGATCCTTCATAAAATGTGCAGTCTCAATGCAGCTATTTGTTTAATGTACCAAAAAGCCTTGTGAAAGGAATAAAGATTTATCTTTGAATCTGAATCTATGAGAGATCATTGCAAGAGCCCATGTACATTTTCATGCTTTATTCTAAATTTCAGAATGTACATATATTATTTAAGTCTGTGAATAAACAAGACTGCTAATATAGAGGGTGGGCTTAAGATTGCTTTAGTTGCATATATTGAAATCTTTTTTTAAATTATTTTTAGCTGAAGGAGTTATTGAAAAGAACTGTTGAGGCTTATGTGCAGTTGTTTAACTTAGAAGATCAAAGATGGCTGCCTTTGTTCAAGATGGAATTGACTTTTGATGATGAGAAAATGGACTTCTACCCTAGTTTTAATGATCTGGAAGATGCCATCTTATGTATTATTACTTTGATTGCACAAACTTTGCAGGTTCTGTTTCATCTATTTTACTTTAATCTCATAAAATATGTAAAATTAATATTGCTTAATAACTTATACCTCAGTCCTAATAATTCCCATATATTTCAGTTATATTTTCAGGTAATGCACAGATGATTGTAAACCTCACATCCAATGCTAAATGATTTTCATGCAAGTTTATGCAAGGACATTAAAATAATTTCCCCCCACTTAATAGTTAAAACACAAATATTATTTGAATTGTGAGGCTGCTCTGGAAACAATCTGGTGAAACATAGGCATTACTATCTGGGCTGAATTCAGGGCAAAACAGTTCTATCAGTTTATTGAGAAGCAGCTATATACAGAAGTGATTGGCTAGCTCTGGTGATATCAAAACCTTCTTTGAAGCAGTATTGAGCAGCATGTTTTTTTAAAGTGAATGAAAAATACTTTAAGTAGCCACTTCTTATGAACTACTAGTCTATAGCTAAGAAGAAGTGCAAAAGACTAAATAAATGCTTGTTTCCCTATTAAATGGAATAATAAGTCATTGTCACTGGAGGGAGAAACTTCCCCCAATGTAAAGTCCAGTTCTGGGTCTGTTATGTGAATGGATTTCTTCAGCTGTTTTATGAATAAGGCTGATCTAAATATGAAAAGAAGTGGGTATGCAGAGCACTACTGAAAAGAATGTGAATTCTTCCAGAAAATTATTCCATGAGGCCCTGGATGCTACTGCTAGAACAAAAATTGCAGTTCTGAGTGCATATTGATATAAAAAAGGATTTAATTCTTTCTAAACTTCTTGGTTTGTAAAGGCCAGGGATACATAAATAGCCCATTTCATACACTTGGATGCTCCACAGAACTGTTGTGGAGTTCAGTATTTGAAAATATTCACTAGTTTCTGGAAAGAAAATAAGAGTGAGGTGATAAGGTTGGTTAAGAAGCAGAGTGATACGGAGCATGATCATGTGTATGTTCATTCAGAAGTCATTCTCTTTATTCAGAAGCAATTCAAGTGTGTTCATTCAGTTTTACTCTCAATAAAAGCATATTAAGAAATATTCAATTATTGTAAAGATGATAAGTGCACTAATGTTTAAGGTAATTTTTATGAGTCTGTGCTGAACAAGCTGATAAAGATAAATGCTATTACATATTATGAAATGATTTCTTAAAAGCCATAAATAATCCTTAAATTTCTTTTGAATAGAATGTCCAGACAATACATTCATGGCTGGGAGGTACAAACATAGTAACAACTATTGACACTGAACTTCCTGATCATGTTATAGCATGGGCTTCATCTGTATTGAAGAGAGCAGTTAATGAGAACTTGAAAGATGCAAAAGCACATTTTGATTCTTATGGTGAGTGGTTTAAAATGAGTCTTTACAAAGTTATGTCTTTAAACTTCCAAACTTAATAAAATTGCTGCTGATTTGTGGTGATTGTTATTGTAGGAGAATTAGAATTCATTTAGGACCAGAGACCAGCACACAATTCCACTGACACATGAATTGGCTTATTACAATGCCAGAGGCAATAGATAAGCCTAAATGGGTGGGGAGAGCATTTTCTGCTTGCTTTACTTGATGTCATATTCTCTTCTTCATTTTCTTATAGTGGAAAAGTATGGCTGGCTTGTAGATGGTGCTGCAGATGACCGTATAAAAACATTTATAGCTGAGGAACACAGTTTTGATGAATATGCAGAGGTAATTTCATGTATAATTTACATCTAAAGTAAATCTGGCTTTTGTAAGTAAGTAAAATGCCTTGGCTTTTATTTGAATTATATCAGTTAAGTTGAAAAACAAGGTCATGTTTCTCAGCAAATCATTTCTTGACTTTCATCTGAGCTTTGGGAAAGGATTTATGAGACAAAATCTGTGCTTTAACCTTTGCAGAGAGGTAAGATTCCAGTTTTTATCCTTAAACTCCCAAAGTGGGAAAATTGGTCTGTTTTTTCAAGATCTTTAAGAGTTATGGTGCTTTAAGCCTTTGTAAGGATTAAAGCTTCCATTTTACCCCTTAACACACCTCCTGAATCCCTGAAAATTTTGGCCTTCCCCTTCACTGAGAGCTCTAAGGGGAATAAGAAGCATGATGGTGATCACCACAGTTAATGGATTGTTCCTCCCTGGTATGTTGGATTACATTTTTCTCAAATCGACCCTGGCAATCAGATTTCCCTTTTCTAGCTATTATGAGAGTACCATAAGCATTTTGGGGAAAAAAAGCGACCTGATTTGAAGAAATGTATTTATATGTCTCCTTTACAGACTTCTCTTGTAGTTTGTATGGTTTTTTTACAGTTCTATACTGCTCTAACTTCTCATGATTCAAGATAGCTTGCACTGAAAATAAGCATCAATCCACTTAAAAATTACACAAATTACACAAAATTACACAAGCACCCAGATTCATCTCTGCATCAAAAGCCCAATGGAATAGGATAGCTTGCACAGTTTTCAAAATGGAAGCAAGGTGGGACTCCTTTTACCTATTTTATAATGTGGGGGCTGCCGTTAAGAATGGACCTCCCCCTCAATCTCATGTGAGATGGGGACCCAGGATAGTACCTCTTGGGAAGAAACCCCCAGGTAGGCTAATTTAATAATAAACAAACAAACAAATAATAAATAAATAAATAAATAAATAAATCTGTTTGAGAGAGACATTCCTACAGGTACCTTGGTGTCAATCCATGTGGTATTTTAAAGGTCCAAACCAGGACTTTGAATAGCACCCAGAAGCCTATTGGTAACCAATGCTGTGACTTCAAGACATATAGATGTCACATTGTTGAACGTACATGCTGTTTACTACATGGTTGTAGTAATTATGATACCTTGAACTATATAGTATGTGTGCTACGTTTCAGGCATCTAGACATGGAATTAATATTAGTTTCATATCCTATGTACTATGACCAAACAAATCCAACTGCCCGATTAAACCACAGGACAGCAGGTTTGTATATAATTTACGAAAAAAAAGAAATGAAGGCTGTTTCTTTATTATGTGTAGCTTGGTATGCTAGGAAGGAATATGTTGTGCTGGTAGAATAATTGCTTTGTTTGATTATGCTTCATGCACTCAGGTTCAGCTTTTTCCTGAGATAAAATGCCCCCCCCCCCCAATTCCACAACCTGATTGTATAGTAGTGCCTGGAATGGCAGTTGAATTTTACTTCAACACTGATGACAGAAGTGCATCCTTCACTTCACCATAAGGAAGCTAGTTCATTTAAGTCAGACATGGGCAACTGATGGCCCATGAGTTGCATGGGAGCCTCAGCACCTTTTTTTATGGTCTCAGGATCTTTTTGTGGGTTCCAGAGCACCTCCATTATGTGTGGTATGAAACGTTTGAATTTTGTATATGAGTAAAACAGTTCTTGAAGGAAAAAAAATATTTTTATGGTTTGATTATGTATACATAATCAGTAGGAAGCTGCAATTTTAGAATAGGCTTGATGTCACTTGCATGAATCTACCACCAATAGTTTCTGCAAGTTTTTGTATAATGAAAATTGTGTGTTTTTTATTTATTTATTTATTTTATTTATTGTTAAACTTGTATGCAAGTAATCTTAATACATAATTACATTATTTACATGAATCTAGGCTAAACTGATCATAAATAGCTCTAATCAGTTCAATAGAATTTTCTCCCAGATAATTGTTTACACTGTATTTAGTTATGCATCTATATTTAAAATAATGAATATAATTATGTTTTGAAGCTTGTAGATGAATTTTTAAATCTTTCAACGGAAATAATGAGCTTACCAATGATAGCTCACTTCCCTATGGTGCGTTTAGACTGTGATGACTTGAAGCAAGGGTTAGCTGAAAAAGCAAAAAGCTTTGCATATAAATTATTGGATTTATTAGTTTACAATCACAGAGAAGAAAATCAAACGTGAGTAATTTTTTTATTACAAATTATCTCTTACTTAGAAAGATACTGTCACATACTATATATAACACTGTTAACTTTTCATTTTGAATATTGTTTTCTGACAGACTGTAATTTCTGATTGTTCTACTTGAAAATTTGGTACTACATATAAGTCTGTATAGTATGCATTTTGAAGTAATGATCACTTGTTACTTTTACATAAATGTTATAGCAACTGCAGAACTGAAAGCACTAGAAGTAGAAATGTATATAACTGTATTGTAAATCTAAAATGTATAAAACTCACATTAAAATTATTTTTAGGATATGCAATGAATTTGAAGCCATTAAAGAACGTGCATTAAAAGTTCCTGAGACAACAGAAGAAATGATGGAAAGTATAGCTTTTATAGACAAAGCTAAAACCACAGGTATCCAGAAGTTGTATGAAAGGATTAAGGTAAATATTTTAGCAGACCTGGTTTTTAAGTGGCAGATGGCATGTTAATTTCAGCTAATCTTGATTTTTCCCTTATATTGCAAGATAAGTCATATAACTATTAACATGTAGTCATTGCAGCATACTTTCAGACATGGCTAGTGTAATATAATTAACTTTTTGCTTGTTTATACATATGGCTTGTTAATGTTTTATAGAGCTGAAGTTTTTTGGGCTGAGCTTGTGCTCATTGTACATGAAGGGTGGGTGGAATTATTAGCCGCATAGAGACATTTTCAGAAGATTGAAATATATTATTTCGAGCTTTTCCTCAATAATAGCAGCTGTCCTCTCCCACTACTGGCACTTCATGCCTATCACAGCATTAATTTTCCTTTTCCCAGAGGGGTCCTTATTCCAGTTTGCCTGATGTTTGCACAGACGGGGGGCGGGGGGGTGGGGTTCGGTTTACGTTTAACTTAACTTTCT